ATTTCAGGAATGGGATGGTCTGGTAAGGATAGCCTTTGTTAGGAAAAACAAGACACTCTCTGCAGCCTTCAAGTAAGTAACTTCTATTCAAGAAAAATTTTTCAAAGTTTGAGAGTTCATCCAATTCACCATTCACTTTGTGAAAATGCATGGCAGTGTTAAATGCATGCCATCAGAGTCTGGAATAAACTTTGAAGGAGAGTTTATGCTGAGGTCACGAACTCTTACAAAATGAAACTTTTAGGAGATAACCCTTTAACAGGCATCTGTTTAAAAAGAACAACTCTATGTCATCAATAGTTTATTTTTATAGTAAAGTCTAACAGAAAGGCAAAAAAATAAAGATGAGCTTTCATTCTAGATTTACATTTCCTTTAGGTCAAGTGCTGTAGAGCAGTTGCTGGATCACAACTACCGAATTCATTGTTCCTTACATAATGCAGTAAGTTCCTTTTTAATACATCAAATTTTAAGCCTGTGAGTTGTGACCTAAATTCTAATACTGTAAGAATAAAAAAATAACAATGGAAAGGCTCGACATGCAAAAGCATGTCTGAGACGGTTTTGGGAAGGGAGAAATTTAGCTTTTTTTCTTAAAAATCTGAAACTGTTACTAAATTGCAGTGAAAAAAAATTAAATCTGAGGACATTGTTAATACAGTGGCTGTACATGTGTCAAGGACTGACCTCACAGCCTGCTAAGAAAACCTTGTGTCAGATTAGCAATACTGTTACTGATTCATTTATAGTGAATGGGCTAAGGTATGATTTCAGACACAAGAATACAGTAATCCATAGAAAAAAAAAAGTACAGCTTACATTGCTTAAAAGAAGCAGGTCTAAAAGTAGGGAAATAATAAGTTAATATTTTTCTGTGCTTTGACTAGAAAAGTAATTTGAATCCTTTTTTTCTATTGCCAGGAAATACCTGAAAATTTCAAAATTTCAGAGAAAATACAGACAGTCCTAAAAGATACAGGTTACTCTGAAAAACGAGCCCGCTCCATGGATATAGATGATTTCATTCGGTAATTCTTTTCTGTCTTCCTTCTAAGCTTCTTCAGATTCCACCTGCTTCTATACCTATGCTGAACAGATTAATAGTGGGTCACATAGGAAAAGTAGTATCCCTGCATTCCACTGAATGCCAAACACTCTTTCTTTCCAATCTGAACATGAAGCACTGAAACTCTATATGTATATTAACTGCTGTTTACAGTATTTGTAAGCAACTAGATAAAGATCCCTGCTCCTGTGATGTCTGTACTAAGCACTTCTACATCTCTTCTACAAACGCCTCGAGGAACATAATTGCTAATGTCACTTTTCTGCATGCTTGCACAGCCCTTACTTATTTTCAGGATTGGGCCTTAATCTGTACCATAATTTGGAAATATTTGTAATTTCCTACTATATTGTCTGGCTTCTGGCTATTAACTCCAAGTTGGAACAAGAATCATCTAAAACTCCTGCTTGTTTGTCAGTGTAACAGTCAATGCTGTAACTGCTCTTTACAGAGATGTAGCAAACCTGGTAGGATGCAACATAAATAACTGGACTGGAAATGTACCTGTAGCACTAAAGTGGCAAACTTAGTAGTAACTTCCAATATAACAGTGTAACAGTTCTTTCTTGTATTTAATTATGGATGCTTTTGTGCTGTCTTGAATGCCAGTAAGCATGTCTTAGAAATGATTTAATCTGCTGTATAAATTAATAGAAATTGTGACGTGAATATTTCACTTTTTTCAGACTCTTGCATGGCTTCAACTCGGAAGGCATCCATTTCTCATAGACTTTACCAGAAGAGTGAAAGATCTGTACTTACTTCTGTAAGCCTTGTCTAATCCCACGTGACTGAAAAGGGAGAAGCTCTTCTCACAATAGCAGCAGAATACAGCGTTCACGTTTTGATTCCTATTGAGAATAAGATGTGCTATTTTAGCACAGACAACAGAAGAGGAGATACTACTCCATATTTTAAACGCATTCAGTTTGTTCATGGCTGAAGAGCTGGACTTCCACACAAAACTGTATTTTTTAGTATACTCAATGACACGGGGATTGATACTGCCACAACATAAATCTGTATTCTCTGATCATGAACTTCATCTCAGTATATTCCTACAATACGGTAGAATCTGATCTGGCAACAAAAATGGATATGTAGTAATTCCAGTTAAATGCTTCCTTTTGATTTGAAATGACCACGTCTTCCATTTGTCGTCCAGGAACCAACGGCATTCCAAATCTGTTAGCAACTTAGTACTGTTAAGAAAACCCCATTAAGTGTTTTTCAGAAACAAGAGCATTTGTCTTATGGGCTTTGTATAAGCTACTGAGGTCGATATTTCCTTTATCAACTTTATCTGGTATTAGTGCTTTTGAACCTTTGTAGGAATTGGCAGAAAATTACCAGCTGACCGGCAGTCTTAATGCATGGCCAGAATCTACAGATTTTTTTTTTTTTTAGTCAACTGTCTTGTGGGATAGATGAGTGGACAGTGAGGTGGGTTGACAACTGGCTGACTGGCAGAGCACAGAGGGTCGCCGTTGGTGGCGCAGAGTCTGGTTGGAGGCCTGTAACCAGCGGTGTTCCTCAGGGGTCGGTGCTGGGTCTGGTCTTGTTCAACATCTTCATCAATGACCTTGATGAGGGGATAGTGGCCACCCTCAGCAAGTTTGCTGATGATACGAAGTTGGGAGGATTGGCTGACATGCCTGAAGGCCGTGCTGCCATTCAGCGAGACCTGGACAGGCTGGAGAGCTGGGCAGAAAAACACCAGATGAGGTTTAACAGAAGCGAGTGTAGAGTCTTGCATCTGGGGAGGAATAATTGCATGCAGCGGTACAGGTTGGGGGATGAGCTGCTGGAGAGGAGCTCTGCAGAGAGGGACCTGGGTGTCCTGGTGGACGACAGGTTGGCCATGAGCCAGCAGTGTGCCCTTGTGGCCAAGAGGGCCAATGGCATCCTGGGGTGCATTAAAAAGAGCGTGGCCAGCAGGTCGAGGGAGGTGATCCTCCCCCTCTACTCTGCCCTGGTGAGGCCTCATCTGGAGTACTGCATCCAGTTCTGGGCCCCCCAGTACAAAACAGACAGGGATCTCTTGGAAAGAGTCCAGCGGAGGGCCACAAAGATGGTGAGGGGCCTGGAGCATCTCTCCTATGAAGAAAGGCTGAGTGAACTGGGTCTGTTCAGCCTTGAGAAAAGAAGACTGAGAGGGGACCTGATCCAGGTCTATAAATATCCAAGGTGTGGGGGGCAGAATGGCGAGGCCGGACTCTTTTCAGTGGTGAGTGGAGACAGGACAAGGGGAAACGGCCGGAAACTGCAGCATAGGAAGTTCTGCACCAATGTGCACAAGAACTTCTTTACAGTGAGGTGACGGAGCACTGGAACAGGCTGCCCAGGGAGGTGGTGGGGTCTCCTCTGAAAATATTCTCCAGGAGAATGTCTCTGGAGATAAGACCTGCCTGGACACCTGCTTGTGCGACCTGGTGTAGGAAACCTGCCTTGGCAGGGGGTTGGTCTCAATGATCTCTGGTGGTCCCTTCCAACCCCTATGATTCTGTGAATCTGTGAAGTCAGGAAGCTAATTTTGTAAGAAAACAGGGAATTTTAACATAGCTTAGACCTTTCATTGAGCCTCAAAGTCATGGCTTGTGTATCCTAACTGAGTGAAGCCACTTAACGTTTTGATTACGTGTCTGTTGTTATGGACAAGGTGTAGTTTTCCCAAAGAAGCTTGTGTTAACTCTACACAACAGCCATTATCCACTTTGATCTGTCCTAAGACTCAGGAAAATGGTAATTATAGCACTGTGGCATCATGCAGAGCTGAGAGCTTAACTATTAACTAACATTAGTCATTTGTTTTGTGTGGTATTTCTCATCTTCTGTAAGACCACAGTAAATGGAGAAGAAAGATAACCAAAAAGTACTTCAAAATTCACCTGCATTTTACAGAGTTCTTAAAATCAGTGATTCAGGTACATGCATGTGCAGGAAAGAGTGTTTCAGAAAACTGAATTACTTGTTTTCTAACTTAACAATTCTAGCTTGTAGAACCTCTTATGAATTATGGTTATGTAGCAACAGCAGTATGCACAGGCAATACAGAAGGAACAGATGTTTCTCTGGTACATCATGTTTCAATGCTGCTTTACAGCAGAGGAAATAGAATATGATTGTCCTAGTCAAGTACTCCCCGTCCATCATAGCAGTGGGCCACGTCATTCACTGTGTCACATTGGTTGCTTACATTTGTTCATACTGCTTCAGTTTTGTTGTAGATCCAGGAAGTACAGCAGGATCTATCACAGAGTTGTTCTCTGAATGGATACTAGATGGAATTTCAGCTTTTATCTGGTACAGGCTATGTTACTCACAAGGATTAGTGAAAGTAGGTGGAATTTAATTGCCTCTTTTCTGCATGTCTTCTTTGGTACCCACTATGATCTACAGCCTGGCTGTGTCTCTAGGTTTGTACAGAGGAATAGTAGGGAAGCAAAGGTTAAGTTTGGAGACAGTCTGGGCTGTAGCAACCATGTCCTGGCACAGTTTGCGATCTTGAGAAGTATGGGCCTGGCAAAGAGCAGAGTCAGGACCCTGAACTTCAGGAGAGTGAACCACAGCTTTTTAAGGAGTTAGTGGATGAGATCCCCTGGGAAACAACTCTGCTTAGGAGTATAGGAATAAAGCAGCGCTGGCAGCTATTTAAGGACACCTTTCTGGAAGTGTGGGAGCACTAGAGGCTCAACCACTCATGCTGCTAGAAGTTCTATTTTCTCCCTTACCGAAATGCCTGGGAATCAAATCTCCTCAGAGACAGTGAGGACAATGCCAAGCACAGCTTGTGTAAGGACACCAGCAAGCTGGACCATGACAACTCAATGCCACCCTTAGCCAGATGTCACTATCCAACACCGTTCTAAAAAGTCACCTTCAACTTGCTGACAATTTAAGAAACAACACTTTTCCCACTGTATCTTACCAACAAGACAGAGTAAAAGCCTGGCTGTGTCTCCCACTGCTTCAGTTGTTCCTCAGCTGGCTTCAGCACTGCAGTATCTTGACTAGTAGCTTGGGTCAAGACTTGCAAAACAACACTGCTTGCACTGTTGAGATCCATGAAAATCTGAAAGCATTTTAAAAAAGAAGAGAAACACTTAGGAATAAAAGACGGCAAATACAGACAGGTAATTTCCATGCACATTATCTAAACACCCTGTACTAATTTTTCATTAGGCTACGTTGTGTAAGATAACATCACACCCACTCATAAGCACTGTCAAGGTACAGAGATTCAACTAATTTACTTTCAGAAATTCATCCACAGTAAAAGCAAGCATTAAGTCTATAACTACAAACATTTTTACTAGATTTGAAGGATTACAGAAAATATTTTGATATTAAATTGGTTACCTTGTGTGAAGCACAGCAGACAAAGCAAACTGCAAATGGAACTTCACTGGCAAGCAGGTAAAACCATGAGGTTACCTGAAACAAGCAAGATGCATAGTATTAAAAGTTATTTTCTGAATACTTTTGCCCCTAAAGAAAAGCTGATATATTTCAGGTGGTTAATTTCTACAATTCATAGCATCATTAACGTTGTCAATGACCTCTAAGACCAGCTAGTCCAACTGTCCATCTAACATCTAGACGTAGTCTATCTACGAAACTGAATTTTTCTCAACATACATGTATTTATTATCTATTTAGCATACAATCAGAAAAACTGGGAATGACAACTGCTTAATTTCAAATATAAATACATACTTATACCATGTAAAGAAAAACCAAGTCATTACTCTCTGGTTGACACAAGGCAGACATCACATTTATGACGACTGTAGAATAAGGATTACAATGAATTAAAGAGGAACATATACAAAAACGATGATATCTGACAGTTAAGGTAACTGATTTTCTGTCAACCAAAATTTTCATTTATAACCTATGTAAACTTATTGCAATACCGATCCAAGTTAAAATATTTCTGTAGTTAAGTTTCTTAAATAAACAACCAAGCACAGATAATTTCTATGAAAAGGCTTGAGAATTTGCTTTTGTTCAATACTAAACAGCAAAGTTTATCATCCCAACATTCGCACAAAAAATAAGGCAGAAACTTGCCAGGGTGATATTCAGAAAGTCACAAATCAAGCCTTATTCTGAAATAGCTCTGAAATTTTGATATTTGAGAAAAGCATCACCCTAACATCAAAAAAAAAAAAAACCAAGCCAAACAAGATTGAAGACCTCATAATGTATGTGTTCTTTAATGAAAACAGACAAAAAAATGACGACTTTCAGGTCAAAAACACACAGATTAAAAAAAAAAAAAAAAAAAAGATTAAATAAACCAAAATCCTGTTCATACTTTCAAAACTAGCAGCCATTAAATCTCTTAGCAGAATTAACTAAAAAGAGCAAACAGGTAATCTTCTGTTTTATACCCTACATACAATACATCTTTGTATGTCTCTGCTTTAACAACGCTGCAAAAACAAACTACTATTTCTCATTAACTACTTGTATCAATCATTTTTACCTTTATCTCCCTGCAAATTCCCTAAAAATTTCCTACAATTATGAGACCACGACAACTTTAAAATTCTCAGCTTGCTTCTTAGGAGATCATCAATTTCCACGGAGCCAGGACATTGATTTACACTGTAAAATCTAACTAGAACTGGCTTTCCCTTTGTGGAAAAGTGCCCAGAACAAAGAATCCAAGTCAAGGTAAAGCTCTAATGTTATACTAAAAGTCTTGATAGGCTCATTGTTCCATTTAAAATAATCACTAAATGATAAACCTGTAAATAATGCTGCTGACGTCACAGGGAGTATGAAAAGGTATTCAGGTAAAATAACACCATGTTTTTATTTTCTGCAGATATTTTACATCTTGAACACCTTGGACTCTCTGCCTCACTGAACTGCCAAAATTCACCAGAAAGCAAGAACACACTGACAACACAGAAAAACACAGGATTAACTTGAAAGGAAGGATCACAATAGGATCTCTATTGCAAAGCACTAAGAACTTCAGGAAAATAAGCTCACACAAACAAAGCATCAATAAAATGTACATTCAGAATTTTATGGTATAAACACTGCATAAAGAAGTTTGTCTAGTCTAGCTAACAGAGCTTCGGAGAACCTAAAAAAGGCAGCGATGGAAAGGAGGAAAAGAAGCAAATGGGAAAAAAGCCAGAAGAAGCAGGCAAAGAGCTTGCACTACAGAGGAAATCACAGCTCAATTCGTGCAAGACCAAATTTATACTTTGTTTCATTTGTTTCTATTTAAGAGTCAAATTATTTTCATTCTGAAAGAAATGTATTCTTATCCCACAGTCCTATGCCACTGAACAAGACCTGATAAAGTATAATTATGGAACACCTAATCAATTAAAAAAAAAAAAAAAAAAAAAAAAGCAGACTATCAGTTACATTGTGAAATGAAAATCCAGTAGGGAACTTCTGAAAGTTACTGAGTTTGCAGTGTGTGCATCTGTCTAAACAAAACATAAAGTAACTTCTTCAACTCGAAATAAATTTATTGTAGGGTGTTTGCTCAGTGTTCTCCAAACAATGAGCTGCCACAGGAAAGCTGCATGCCTATCAACACTGATTCTGTAGCACATACCCTGACGCTGATATCAATATTCAGGGCAAGGACATCAGGGAAAAAAAAGGCAGCTTTTCTTTCTTTTATCTCCTTCCCTGTGAACGGTGTGATTACTAAAACTTCACACGCTTCAGCAAGAACAGGTGTCATCAGATGACAAACACTGAAATTAGTACAGCACTAACGAAAACCCATGCGGATTTCATCATTTTCTTGTTTCAAAATTATTACCTGACAGTTCTAGATAACAAAACAAAAACAGCAACAACAAAATCAAAGAAGCCTTTACAAAGCTTCACACATTCTTGAAAAAGTTTATATTTTCACTTAAAAAAAAAAAAAAAAAAAGTCATTAAATATAAGCAGGTATTGCTAAAGGAATGACCTTAAAAGGTCAGGATAAAAATTCACTTAACTAATTATTTTGTCTCTCAGAAAGACCATGTCAGATGCCCAAGAAAGATCATCAGAAGAAGACAATCCTTCAGTGATATTTCCTCCACAAGACCCTGGTCTGAGGACATAGTAGAGGTTTGGCATCTGAATTGAACAGCCCCCATGTCTAGTCCTCCACAAATGGGCACTGTTGACTTTTTGACTCCTCATGCTGGATGAGACTGACATGAGCACCAGAACAGAAATGAAGGCACTGATTTTGCTGAAGATGGGGCAATCTTTGGTTACAGTTTATAAATAAAATCTTTATTTATAAACTCACACTTTTTAAATGCCCAAAGCTGAAGGAAGGTGAGTATTCAGGCTCTTCCTCATCCTGAAATACATTCAAATTCTAGAATCACACTGAAAACAAACCAAGAACAGCTATATATCTACAGACAAAAGATTTTATGAGAAAATATCTAAGACCTTAGCTTTTTCCATACTCCGAACAATCAGCAAAACAGCTCATACATACCCAACCAGCTAATTTGTACAATTGTTATCTTCTGTTAATTCAGTGAAACATTTTCCACAGTAATGAAGTACAGAAAAAGATTCAGTTATGATCTTCCGAAATTGATAACAGTATTTCACAAAATACAGTGTTCTCACTGAAAATAATGTTGATTACATACTGAACAGCTTTAGAAGGAACATGGCAAGTAACTCCAGGCATGCTACCACCCTCCTCTACGCAGCAGTATCTAGGAGGACACTGCACATAACATACTGCTCCTAACACAGTCTTCGGTTTTGTCATCATTTTCCCCTTCCCCAGCTCAAGATAAAAAGTGCAGAAATTGGAGAGAGTCCAGAATTACCAATGGAACTGGAGTCAAGCAAAGAATTATGAATAGAAATTGAGTACTTGTTTGGTATGGTAAAGTGGGAGCTACAGGATGGCTGAAAAGATACCTAAAAATGACCACATGAGAGTCACATACAAAGAGGGTGAGAACGACTTCAGGTTTTTTTTGCAGATGACATTACAGGGGCTAAAGCTACCAGCCACAGATTGGGAGATTCAACTAGAAACTTCAGACTTTTTTTCAGCACATTTGTTTTGAGGAAAATAGGAAAAGCAAGATTTCTATTCTGAACAGACACAAGAACCAGCAATGGCTCATCTTCTGAAAAAATACTTCAGATGAAAGTTAGTACTGGTGTCAACGCTCACAAGCCATCAGCAGTGCCCATAAGCATTTCAATTTCAGGAACAGCTGGCAGTCATTCCAATCTCTCCATCATTTTCCTATGTGCCTCTTTTCCTGAGGTTCCTGTATCAATCACACCTACTGAGCAGTAAAAACAAACAAACAACAACAACAAAAAAACAGGTATTGAGGCTGTTCAATGTTCCACAAAAATTATTAGCAAGTAAACTAGAGACCAGAATCACCACAACAACCGCATGTTGATCCTTAGGAAGATTTTCAAGAATAGTTCACTATTTCTTTGTGTAAATAGGAAACATCGTCTATACTATGCCCCATTATAGTTGTAACAAAGGAGAAAAATAAACACATCTATGTTAGAATGAATTTTGATGCTTTCATCCCTTTGCTGCTACTGACTCAAACAGTAAACCAGAACTATAACAGAATTTACACAGAAACTTATTAGTACAGTGAAACAAAAACCCAGATCTGAAATAAAAATCAGCTGACATGGGGGAAAAAGGAGCAAAGAAAGAAGGTGGAACACAGTAATAAGGGACAGTTGGTGAGAAAGGCTGGCATTAGTATTTACAGTAGTAACTAAGATTAAAATGAAAAAGATAAAAATGAAAAATTCTCTGAGGTTAAATGGAAAGTAAACTGACCAAAAACTCTTTATAGAAGGTACAGTCAGCAAGAAATGATAGTGGGGCTACTCAAAGGAGTATGCTTGGACACAGCTCATGAAAAACCATGTCACAGAGCTCAGCACCAACAACACAGAAAAAGGAGAAAGGAGTGCACAAAGACAAGGAAGGAATATTTTCATTCTTTATCAGTAAGGTTGGAAGTGAAACATTTTTCACTTTACTATTGTCTAATTCCAACCCCCTGCCACAGGCAAGGATACCTCCCTCTAGACCAAGCTGCTCAAAGCCCCATGCAGCCTGGCCTTGAACAAACCCAGGGAGAGGGTGTTTACAACTTCTCTGGGCAATCCATTTCAGTGTCTCACCACCTTCACAGTAAAGGATTTCTTTCTAATATCCAGTTTAAATCTACCCTCTTCAAGTTTAATGCCATTTTCCCTCATCCTATTGCTACATGCCCTTACAAAAGGTCCCTTCACAGCCTTCCAGTAGGCTCCCATCAGGTACTGGAAGGCCGCTATAATGTCCCCTCAGAACCTTCTCTTCTCCAGGTTGAAGCCACAGCCTGTCCCAGGTTCTTTCCTGGTTCATGCTGAGTCTTTCATCAACTGACACTCCCAAATCCTTCTCCTCAGGGCTGTTCTCAAGCCATTCTCCACTCAACTCTGCCTCTGCTTAGGATTGCCCTGATCCAAGTGTAGGACCTTGCAGTTGACCTCACTGAACATCAAAAGGTTGGCAGGGGCCCATCTATCAGGCCTGTCCAGGTCCTTCTGGACCCAGATACCTTCTCGGTATCCCCTTCCTCTAGTATGTTAACCACACCACCCAGCTTGGTGTCATCTGCCAACTTGCTGAGGGTACGCTCAATCTCACTGTCCTTGTTGCCTAGAAAGATGTTAAACAGCACTGGGCTGAGAGGAACACCACTTGACACCAGTTTCCACTTGGACATTGAGTGCTGACCACAATTCTGAGTACAATCATTCTGCCAATTCCTTATCCAACAAGTGGTCCATCTGTCAAATTCATTTTTCTCCATTTTGGTGACCAGGATGTCACATGAGACAAAATCAAACACTTTGCACAAGGCCAGGTAAATGAAATCAGTTGCTCGTCTTTCACTGATGCTGTAACTCCACTGTAAAAGGCCACCAAGTTTGCCAGGCATGACTTATCCTTGGTGAAGCCATGTTGGTTACCACCAATCACTTTACTTTCCATGATGCATTAGTAGGGCCTTCAGGAGGATCTGCTCCATGGTCTTGCCAGTCTCAGAGGTGAGAACAACTGGCATATAGTTTCCTGCATGGCTTTTTTTCCCTTCTTGAAAATGAGGGCTATGTTCCCCCTTGTCCAGCCATCGGAAACTTCTCATGATTACCTAACTCACACAGCCCATCTTATTTGTCTAACTTCTTTGAAACTCAGCTCACCTTTGCCATTTCATAAACAAGACTGAACGCTTCACAACAAACTAGCATGCAACAGCAGACATAAAAATGCAAGTTTCGGCCTGCTCTCATGCAGGGGCATTAAAATAATTATTAATTGGCTAATTAATCAAATTAATTAACATGAAGCCTTTCCAGCAGACAGTTAAAACCTACATCTGAAGACACGCTTCCCAAAGTTTACACATCCATTTTGAGCGATAAGCCCATCATACACACAGATTTATGGCACACAGCAATCTCCCGCAGGACGGCGCAGCGATGGAGCGGGACAGGCAACGACGGGAGAGGTGACGACGGGAGAGGCGGGCACCGGAGCTCCAGGAAGTCGAAGCCCCAGAGTGCGCGCACCACAGGAGGCGCTCCCACGCACTGCCGGCGCCTCTCGGAGCGCCGTTTCGAGGATGGGGACGCTCGAAGGCAGCGGCGGCGCTCAGAACACCCCGCACGTGCTGCGAAGCAACAGAAAAGAGAGACGGAACTCACCGCAGCCGCGCCGGCCCTCCGTGCGACTCGGGGAAAAGCTGCTTTGCCGTCAACGTCAGTCTGCGGGAAGAAGAACAGCCGTGTGTACCGCTGCGGCCGCCCCGCCCCGTCCCGCAGGACGCGGCTCTCCCCGCAGCGCGCCGCCCCGTCCCCTCGGCGCTGCCCGGTCGGACCCGTTCCGCGCGCAGCCGGCAGCGGCGCCGAGGGCCGGGCGGACGGCGCGACGGCAGCGCGGAGTCCTTGTCCCGGCAACCCGCCGTAACGATAGCGGCACCGGCACCTGCCTGACGCCACGGCGCACCGGAGAGCCCCGCACGACGCCGCGCAACTTCGCGGCTCGCTCCCGCCCGGCGTAGGCCGCTCCCGCTGCTCGTCCCGCCCC